CGACGTTGTGGCAAAAATGAGATTTGGTAACCCTGAACTCCAGGCATCGAGGTTTATGCATACGAGTAAAAAAATCGTTCTAAAAACAACAGATTTGTCAAATAATAGCTAGAGAAATACCGCCTATCAAGACAATGCCTTCAAAGAATAAACCGTTTTTTCGCTCTCCTGTAAAATTTGAGTGCCGTAAGATAGGCGGTTTTGCAATTGGGCGATGGGCGGTTTTGCAAAAACATCGACGATATGTCATTCGAGTTAAATACCTATTTTATACCAGAAGTTCTTGGAAAAATATAGAATTATTGCCTTAATTTATTTTATTTAACATGACAAATATTGCACACACAATATCTTAGGTAGATAGTAGTAGATGATTTTAAGAAATAAGTAAAGTATCAGTATGTATGTATGTACAAATGTAAATACTCTTTCTTTTAATAATTACCGTTATTTTTGTTCGACAGCATCATAACGTGGCGTAAATAAATTAAAATAATAATGTAAAAAAACACAACTCAAAAAAAAATTTTGTATTTTCAATTTCTTAAAATAATACCTATAACAGTATCCAATAACACCGACGTTTGGTGTGCACACTTAGTACCGCTAACATCAACTAAATATAATAGGATGCCACGTTATCGTCGGAAATTATTAACTATGGAACGTATGAGCTGTGAAAACGTGTCTCTGGAAAGACATCCTCTTCCATTTCGATGCGAGTATCACTGTTGCCCAGCAACGATTCGGCATCCTCCTCCAAGTGACGTATGGGGTAGCTGATACCATCGCCCATGCTGCTCGTTTATGCCGAAAAATACATACATACTTATAGACAATGCATGTACATGTGTGGGTTTTATGTTTTATTTTTTATTTTTTTTAAATGAGCATAATATTGGGATGCATATTTTTAGAAAGCTTTTTCGAATGATATCTCAATAGAAAAAGGCTTTCAACTGCAACTGCCTCAGCCAGAATTGCGCTGTAAAACTACCAGATATATTCGTACTTCTATGACAGGATTGCAAGATACTAGCTCGGATATTTCATCCATTTTAAATTACATCCAACTAATGGAAATATTTTTTTGTTCATGATTATATACATTAACTAAAAAAAAACTACTGTAATACCTGTTTTTGTATTAATTGCGTTGAATCTGTATGATCCACAAGCAGATAAATTTACCTCTATGAATTTTGAGTTAGCTCACTTTAGATCTAGATGCGCGACATGTTTGGACTTGAAACATAGTTCGAAGTTAATTTTTAAAACGCAGTGTGAAAAAATATATTATGGGTGAGGTCTCACTTGAATCTTGCCTTAACTCTCTAACGAGCCTTTAACTAATTTTTACGACTTTTGAACAAAATAAGTAAGTATTTCGTTAATTAATGGGTTCAAATGCTCTAATGAAATATTCCTTCTGAAATTGTGGGTCCTTTTCCTCTCAATATAAAAAGTATATTAAAAATGTCGGCGCATTATAGAGATGTGTTATTTTAGAATACTTTGGCTAATGATTTGGCAGCAATAAACAAATGTGAAAATGCTGTTTTAAGGATACATTTTTTTACCCTAGCCATTCTCCAGAAATAAAAATTTGTATGTACACTTAAGCCTTTTGTCTCGTTAACTTTACAATAACAAAATTAACTACAAAGATTTTTAAAACTTGCATGCACGACTACAAAATAAAATTGCGCAAGAAACTATTTATATGTACTAAAAATATAATCTATATAACCATGAAAAACTGCAGCTGAAATGAATAGAAAACATACATACATATGTACATATATTCACAGCATGTTACAAGCTAATTTGGCAAATTAAAAACACAAATTTCTTTCGCAAATTATTGAGTTTTACTTGAGAATGTTCTTACAGATGCTTATACATACATTTGGGTTTTAAAAGTAAATAGATTGTATCGAACTTGGATTTAAAGATATACAAAGGTATTTACATAAGAATATAATTATGTATGTATTACAAAATATTACAAAAAAATACATAGTTGGTAGGTAGCTAGATAAAACAAATTACAAATTAATTCAAGTAGAAAAGACTAATGCATACACAGATGATACTAGGCATGAGCAGATACATGATACATAAATGTATACAAAATAAAAAAGACCAACACATACAGAAACATGACACATCATTACATACCACAAAAATAAAAAGTTGAGCTTTGAAAATGAAAAAAAATTATTAAAAATACTTATGAGGTGAGCTGCAAGGTATTCTACTTGCATTATTGCTTGTTTATGCTATTTTAATTTCTCCATGATACGACGAAAGATGCTTTAATTACATAAAAATAGATAATAAGGTGAAAGAATTATAATTTTTATTGTAAAATTTTTGTAAATAAAACAAATGTATGCTGAATTAAACTGCATCAAAAGATTTAACTAACTAGCAAACATATGGTTTAAACTACACTAACAGCTAAGGTATACACTTATTTATAGGTTATGGTTCAAGTAGGAATCGACAAGTTTAAAAAAATTAATTAAATAACTGATTTTTATTGTATAAAAATTAGTTATGTGCATACGTCACTAATTGTATTTAACTTTGATGCATGTTTTTTCAAAAAAAAAAATCTAGTAAAATACATTCTAACAAATTTTGCTAGTTTTCTCTTGTTTCGTTAAATTATTTCGTTTTCCTATTTACTTAGGTTACTAAAATACATATTTTCAACACAGTAAAATAAATATTAATAAAAGGCAATTTTTATTAGATTCAAATAGTAAGTTTGTAGAAAGTTAAAAAAAAATAAATCTGTCATCAAATCCTCAGCTACAAAAATTTGCGCGTCTTTTATTTCACTGTTGACCAGTTTAAGAGTTGTTGTTTTAGCATCTCAACCGAGGAATACTCAAACATTAGTACTGGTGCGTAGCTAGTAGTCAAACATCATAACGATTTCGCTCAATCGCATAAAATTTTTTTTACAGTGGTTTAAAGTTAACACCTTTTTGATCACGAATTTAACTCTTGTGACTCCTATTTTGAAGCAGTTTCATGTATGCAAGTTCATAGAAAATGGCAGTTAGGGGGTTAAAATGTTTTAGAAAAGCGTTATGTAGGAAATGGTTCAGCAGACATCGAACACCATTAAAAATTTGTCGTTGTAAATTAACAAATAATGTACAAATCGAGTTCTTGTCTTCAAACACCTATGGTTGTTAAAGTTCATAGTAAAATTTAGCAGGTAATTTGTTCTTTAACATTTTTAATCCTTTAACTACTCCCTTTAAAAGGGTAATTAGAGTAAAAATGTTCTGCAAAAGTATAAAACTCATATTCACTGAAGATAGAAGAGATCCGCTGATTGAAGATAAGTGGGATTATTTGAAACTTGGGTTAAGAGTTTTTAAGATAAAGTCCTAAATCGAATGTGCGCTCTGCTGCTCTAATGTATAAACCTTGATTTTTACGCTAAATATTGTAGGTGTCTCTTTAAAAATAAGGCCTAAGACCGGTATTGCATTCTAATGTGAAATCGATACTGCTAGGTGTTTCAATTCCATGGCATATACAAGTTTGTGCGTACATCGAAATATCTAAAGAGTTTTTTTTTT